GGAGAGGGAGAGGGAGAGAAAAGAAACGAAATGAAACATACTTCTGAGCCAGGGATATATCTCAGCATTTATACAAGGTACCAGGCTCAATCCTAAGCACCACAAAAAATAAATAAATAATTTAATAAACATGGATTCCTTAAAGTCAGAGGAAAAACTGATCTTAAAAACCAAAGTACAGATATGCCTCAAACAAAATAAAATCCTTACTAAAGAGAAAGTTTATATTATCAGGAAACATTCATATTCAAAATCAACATCCAATTCATAGGAATTCCCAACATATTTAGGGATAAAGAAATTTGGAGACTGAAACTGATTCAAGAAAAATCAATCCAATACTACTGGCAAATACTTCCATAACCACAGCATTCTAAGACAACAAGAAAACAAAGTTTTCATACAGTAGACCCACTTCTGAAAGTATGCGTGCATTAACTGAAAGTGTTATAAACAGTCATGGATCAGTTTAAGCCTCTACTGAGTGTATACTAGCTGCTAGACACCGTGGTATACTCAAAGGTTTATCAGGACTATGATGTCAGGTTACATAGTTTTTCACTGTACAAGGACTAAGGAGAAAATGAGGGTACCTTTTTCTAGGTCACTTACAGAGGTACTACAAATGTGAACAGTGCAAGTGGTCCAGAATCTCCCTTCAGAACAGCCTGTGTAACACACTACACCCTATCCATAATTATAATGAGTTTCACCTGAGGCATTAAGAAACAAAGAGGGTCCCAGCACTCTGTGAGTTCAAAGTCAGCCTGGTCTACATAGTGAGTTCCAGGACAGCTGGGGCTACAGGGAGGCCTTGTCTCAAAAAGACCAAAAAGAAAAAAAAAAAAAAGGTAAGGAAGAAAAGGAAAGGAAAGGAGCATCTAACCCAGGCACACAGCACTTTTCAGTGTGTCCTCTATGGCAATGAGATACTGTATCTCAAAACAACCTAACTCTAGAAACAGTATCTCTGCTCCTAAGAATTAGTCAGAGCTCATTCTTCAAAAGGATTTTTCTTCCTATACTGAATGTTTTTTGTATCTCAGATTTTAAAAATGCCATTTTTCTGCCTGTAACACACACTTTGCTTAAGCATCAACCGCTAATTTCTAGTGCCAGGCATCAGCTTTGTCAATTATGCCCAAGGCCCTTCCCTAATCATCCCTCAAACCTCTGAGCAGGTTTTTCTCAATTGCTAATCCAGTTCCACACATTCTTTTCCTTCACTGTATCAATCTGTTCATTTACTTGATCTGTCTCTACCACTAGAGTGTAATCTTTAGAAAACAGTGATATGCACACTGAGATAACTTGTTAAATTCCCAGGGCTGGAAAGATGGCTCAGTAGTTAAGAGCACATACTGCTCTTGAAGAGGACTTGAGTTCTGTTCCCTGCACTCACATCCAACAGCTCACAACTGCCTGTAACTCCAGCTCCGTTCCAGGGCATACAACAGGCTCCTCTGGCCTCCACAGACACCAGTACCCCCATGCATATTATCACATATAGCTAGCAGACAGATAATTGAAAATAAAATAAATCTTGGAAAAAATAAATTCTTTAAATCACTCATTTCATTTAGTATTTACTGGATATATAGTTTATTAGTTGTAATAAAATATTAATAAATTCAACAATTATTAAGGTGGCATGTTTATGAGCTGGGAACATAAAGGTGTAACTTAAGTTCCAGTGGCAGGAGGCAGACAAAACAGTGGTATATTGTTAGGTAAAAGCTTGCCTCTGAAGAGGTGGGTGTAATGGGGCATGCCTGTATTCCCACAGGACTGCTCACAAATCTGAAGTAAGTCTGGTCTACATAGTGAGTTCCAGGCCAGCCAGGGCTACACAGAAAGACACTGTCTCAAAAACCCAAAACTGGTATGGAGGGGAAAAGAAAGAAGCAGGGAAAGGTTAACACAGTACTGGGGGAGATATGTTGTGTCAAATAAGACAGCTAGGCTGGGCCTCATGGAGAAGGCACCAAATAAATCAAAATTTTAAGGAAATGACAAGTAAGGTATCCAGGCAAAAGCACAGGTGATGCAAAGGTCCTAAGGTGGAAGCAGACCTGGTCTACTCAAAGAACTCAATGCATCCTGAGAACAAAGTGAACAGGAGAAAGTAAGGACAGGGGTCAAAAGGGAAAGAGAGCCAGACTAGTCATGAGAGCAACAGGAGATTTTGTTTCTACTATAAGTAAAACATGGATTCATTTGCAGAGCTAAGTGAAGGCACAGTTGCTGATTTATATTATTAAGAATTACTCTAGCTAGTGTGCTTAGAGTTGAAGTAATCTAGGTAAGAGAAACAGGTGGTTAACACTGGGTGAACAGCACTGGGGTGATGAGAAGCAGACAGAGACAACAGGTTTCCTGATGGAAGAGATATGGGGTGTGTGAGAACACAGGAGTTGATTCCAAGGTGTCAGCCTGAGCAACTGGAAGAATGGGGTTTGTCATCAACTGAAAGAAAGGCTGATAAGCAGTCTAAACAAAGATCAGGACTTAAATATTATACATATTAAATGTATGAATAAAATGTCACTAAGCTTCACAAGGCTTCAGCTTCAAACAAGTCATATCGATATATACCAATAACTCAAGGGTCCAGCTCTTCCCTCATTCTGACCCACACATAAACCTTCTCCAACACCCTCCCTGAGCAGCTACACTAACAGTTCATACCCAGACTTCCAACTTTACAGAAAGACAGCTCCTTCACTATTTTGTTTCTATCCAAAACAAAAGTCAAGCAAAATAACTCCTCAAATTTCCCCAAAGCTACCAGGCAAAAGAACATCTCCCGACTATATCATCCCACACGAACAAATGCTCCATATGAGGCACAACTCAACACTATATAATCTAAGCCAAACCTATAGGAAAGAATTATGAGCAGAAACTTTAAAGAAACAAATCCCTCAGAACCAAGCCTAAAAATTCAGATCAGTTAGGCTCAGAAGTAGATCCCCATCTCCCACATTTTTATTATGAGTCCAAGGTTATACAGCAAGTTCAGAAACCAAGAAGTTCAAAATTACCTGACCAAAAGAAAGTCATTTGCAACTATATACCCAAAGCTAACTTTTGATGTTAGAAGGGGTAAAATTTTAAAAATCTCTTACCCTTCTGTTTCTATTATCAATAGTAGCTACCAAAGACGGCAAAGACTATAACACCCACCACCATTGCCTAAGCAATCCTAAATCCAGACATATAATTACTTGTAAGCCATGATTGCTGGAAGAAAAGATGAAACCCAAAGCAAGTATCCACAGCTCCTCTGCATTCAGAAATTCTATACTTTATGGGAACGTCTAAAAGGAAGAGAGGTCAGAATTACAGACGTGCTCAAATCATTTTCCTAGAAGAAATACTAAAATCAACATTTTCCCCAACTGTGACTCCCAATTTCAAGACATCAGAAGTTCTCAAGCAGCTCTCGAAGCCCTTCAGAAGCTGAACTCAGGGTCCCTGACACTCTTGAAGCATTACCTTGCCTATTCTTTGTGCCCACACAAGTCCCTGCCTTGTATCTTCCATATCCAGACTTTTGTTTCTCAGTTTTTAAATCACTCTTTAAGCTTCACCTGCTCCTTGAAGTCCTCTAATTAAGCCTGATCTAGATGCATTGCTCACCCCCACAGGGCCTGCAAGATTCCCTCATTGTTACCAGAAGTAAGGTGTGCTTGTACAGGCTTGCAGGCACAAGACTAGAAACAGAGCTGGTCAGTCTGCACGTTTCACAGTGCTTTCCTTTAAATTACAAAAAATCATCAAGTGCAGTCACCAAATCATTGTTCTAAAATGTAAAAAAAGTGAGTGAGCTAGTGTATACTGCATTCTCCAGTGCCCCGCAGTGATGTTCTCCACACACCTCGTGTACACCTCAGAGAACACGTACCCCACTTAGAAGAAAGATAGCAGTTCTGGCTACTTTTTCAGTTCTAGTCATCATTTAACTTACACTCAACTCTAAAGAGAGGGAAATGGTCAATGAGTTAACTAGACACTCACCCCAAGTACGGGAATATGCGAAGAAACCAGACTGGCTTTCAAATACCTTTGTAGTATCCTTCCTTCCTAGAAACACACAAGCCAAATAGTTAGCACTCGAGTTAAACAGCCTACCATACAGCATGCAAGGTGGATCTTGATACACAAGGAAAACAAAACTTGCCTTGAAAACCCAGCTATTCTCTGAGATCAGAGTTCAATCTGAAAAGTATAAGCCTCCTTCAAGAGCACACATCCAGAAAATGGGGACAGGAGTACCTGTTCTTGCAGTGTTACTACTGTTTTTGCTACTTCCGGTGTAGCAAAAGAGCCTAGATGGAAACCAGAAGGAAAAAATCCAGTTAAAACCCTCACAACAGATCAAACCACTTTCAGATTTCCTCAGACTGCCAAACTATATATTACAGACACATTATGGGCAAAGACAGTCTCAAAGGACTCAAAAGCAAAACCTATTTACAAAACATACATTACTAACTAGCCTCCAAAAGTAAAGTAAAATTATATCACACACAGAAAACTGTCCTAATAAGGAAGTCTTTCTTCTAAAAAATTATCTCAACTAAATTAAAACACGGTAAATAAAGGCAGAAGTTACTGAAAACATGTATTAGAACTAAACCAAAACTTGTGTATCTGCGTATATATACTCATATATCAAAGCTAAATAAAGAACCCAGAGCTAGCTGCTTATTTATGAAAAAATAGAATTCTGTAATTGCAAGTTTCCAAGTTGTGAAACAATAAAGACTTAAAAATATGTGACCTGTAAAATTGGAAAATTAGCCAATTCTTCTGAAAGACTTCTAAATTTTGACATTCTATCTAGTAAACACACTTCTCAGACTCAAAGTTCTGGTGAGAGGTAGGTAGGTGGTCTATGCTAGAGGTAAAAAGCTAGATAACCCAGCACCGAAAATTCCAATCACTGAGATTCCATTAACTTCAGAGGTGGAAAAACAAAGTATAAAAAGGCATACAGAACTTACAAAAATACTCTTTTCCCAATTCATTGTTCTCTTTCTCCTTTTTTACTAAACCATATCATAAAGATGCATTGAAAATAAAATAGTCTTGGAGTATACAGTACTGTAAAGGACAGTAGTCCAGTTCTTAACAATTCTTTCTGAAAGACTTCTAAATTTTGACATTCTATTTAGTAACCATGCTTCTGGGACTCAAAGCCTAGCACGTGAAGGCTTGAGCCTACTAAGAACCAACCAACCAACTAGGTGTGATGGCCCAGGGGGTTGGGTTGAGAGGTGGGGGAGATCCTTCATCAAGAAAGCACTTTATATCTACATAACCCAGCTTTCTTGGCTCCTATCATCTCAGGTACTCTCTTCTCCAGAATCTCACCTAGTGAGGATAAGGATCAGTCTTTAGGTTACTATTACACCATCCAGAAGGGAATCGTCTCCAATACATGACCTCTTAAAGGCAAGCTGTTAAACCATAGGATATAAGGTACCTATAACAGCCCAGCTGAAGAAATACAATGTGCTTAATACAAAGCACTAAAAGATAAGAACATAGACAATCTAGAAATACAGGTAACACAGACGATAAACCCTCAAGTGTACTCATCTTAGCTCTCAAATTAACCCAGATGTGGGTCTCACTGCCTACACCATATATACGTCTGATAAACACTGATAAGTCATAGACCAAAAAAAAAGAGCTTTCTTAAAGACTATACAAGTTACTGGTAAATGAAATTTTATATAAGAAATGATCAAAGAATATATATATGAAATAGTTTGGGTATTAAATATGTTACTAAGAAATGAAACACTGATTACTGCCTAATCTTCAAAACACTAAATATTTTTGTTTGACAGAGTTACAAATCTGTTTTCAGTAGAGGGAAAACGCTGGCTCTGTTTAATGTAGGACAAAAAGGATCACCTCTACACATCATAATGTTTGGGTTCATCATGAAAACAGGAAACAGGCTGCTCAGGTATAATTACTGTTACAGTCTAATGTGCCTTCAGGTTCAGCCAGGAATTAGAACCCAAGAAGAGGGTGACCAGAACTTACTTGCCTCTCCACCTTGCTACACAGAACTCAACTTTACTAAGACTCTTGGCAACATGTTACATAATCAACAACAAACAACATTCTGATTCAAATCTCATTAACAACAACATTCTGTCACTGTCTCCCACTGAAATTAATAGCTGACTTTACCAGAGGGGAAAGGCAAGAACATCAATCTACCCATTTCTGTGGCGCTTACCACAGTGAACCAGATTAGCAGCTACTACTAAATCTGTACAGAACTTACAAAACTATTTTTTCCCAATTCATTACTCTCTTTCTCCTTTTAACTAAACCATGTCATATAGATGTGTTGGAAATATAATAGTCTGGGAGTATACAGTACTGTAGAGGACAGTAGCCAAGCACGAGCAAGGCTCCAGCCTACAAAGAACCAACCAACCAACCAATCAGATGTGATGGCCCAGGCCTGTAATCCTAGCATCTGGGAGGTAGAGGCAGGAGGATCAGGAAGGAGTTCAAGGTCATTCTACACTAGGGGGCAAGTCTGAGGCCAGTCTGGGATACATGAGACCCTGTCTCAAAAAGGAAACACAAAGAAGGGAGGAAAGGAGGAGGAAGTGTGGGAAGGAGGGAGAGAGGGGTCACTTGAGAAGGTCCATCTATGACCTGAAAGGAACAGAAGCACAAAACGACCTATCAGATGCATTAGAAGCAGTTTGTGAAAGACCTGAGGAAAAGAGGATGCCAGAGAGATGCTCATACAGGCAATAAACAAAATTAGCAATTTTTTTAAAGACAGGGTCTCACTATTGTTGCCATGGCTGGCCTCAAACTCATAAAAGATCAGCCTGTCTCAGCTTCTGAGAGTGCACATGCACCACCATACCCAGCTACAAAATTTAATTTTAAAAAAATCAAAGCATAATTATGTACAATCTTTATGAAGATTAGATTTTGCTAAATTTTGTCTGCTGAGTTGTTTTGGGTTTCTACAATTTCAGGGTTCACCTTAGGGAGGAAAAAATAGTTACCAACGAGGTAAAAGAATATAAAACAATGTTACTGATTCACTAATGCCTTCCTTAGAAAATATGGAACATCCTCTCATGCTAGAGCAGTTGAGAGCGAAACTGTCATGCTGAGTGTAGGGACTGCTTTCTACACAACACACACCATCACTGGCGGCTAGCAGAAATATTAAACTACTTGGAATGCTACTAAACTTGCTGAGCTTTCAATTTTTCAGCTTCAAATTAAAATTAAATGCTAATTCCCTTAACAGTAATTCTGGTACACTAAAGGCAATTCAACTACTCTAGTCTTAAAAAAGAAACACTGCCAGGCCTGCTGGTAGTGGCTCACTCCTGTAACCCCAGCACTTGGAAGGCTGAGGCAGGAAGGCTGACCTGAGTTCAAGATTTGCATAGCAAGACCCTGTCTCGGGGGAAAAAAAATTGTGTACCCTTTTCTCTCAACTTCCGTAATGCCAACCAACAAATTGCAGTGATGTGACAGCCTCAACCAGACTTCCAAAACTTTTTCCAGAGAGATAAACAAGATATACTTAGCGCCACACCCATTTAAACGCAAAAGCAGCCAGGAAGACTCCCCTCATAACCTACCCAGCACCCCACCTCCCAAACCTACAGCTGGTCAGGAAACTTTGTCTTGGCAATGAAGATAAAGATCTGGCCTTGGAGTGTTTGGCCACTCCTCACTTCCAGGCTGGCCTAGGCTCCATTCTCCAATGCCATCAAAAGCAGAATCGGAACCCAAGCCTCAGATCGCTGGCAAGCCTCCAGGTCCAAGGACCATCCTTCCCGTTCTTTCTGCAACTCAACTGTTTTGACTACTGAGCATGCTCCGACGAGGCAGGCGCCACACCGGCGTGTGGACGCTTTGGCTCTCAACTCTACGGAATAACAGTATAAGAAAAGAGAAAAAGGGGTGGGGTGGGGGCTGGACTATGAATCTGAGTACTGATACTGAGGTGAACAACCCGGACGGGCTGGCCATGGTGGAGCCCAAAAACAAAAGCTGCTCCGGTTTGCTCCCGTGAGCTTTACAGAAGTTTGCACCAAGTAGAAATCTTTGCAATGCTCCACTGACACACAAGTGGTGGAAACCAGATCTGAGCAGCAGCTGAGTGCAGCAGCAGGTCACCACCGCTCCGAGTGTAATTCCCTCCGATAAGCGCGGATCCTTATCTCGGAAACACAAAGCAGGGCGGCCGGGACGGCAGGCCACCGCACAGCGCAGCGGCGGGCCGCGGGGTGTGGGACCAGGGCGGTGGTGGGAGGCTCCCGCGGCTCCGGCAGCACGCTGCAGGCCGGCCAGGGCGCCCCGGGATGCGCGAGCGGGGCCGGGGC